TCGTCGCCGCCGTCGTCGTCGTCGTCGTCGTCGTCGTCGGCGTCGGCGTCGTTGACGTCGTCGTCGTCGTCGTCAGTGTCGTCGTTGTCGTCGGCGTCGTCATCGTCGTCGTCGTTGTCATCCTCGTCGTCATCGTCGGCATCGGCGTCGGCGTCGTCGTCGTCGGTGTCGTCGTCGTCGTCGTCGTTGGCGGCGTCGTCGAAGTCGTTGGAGACGTCGTCGGTGTCGTCGTAGTCGTTGTTGGCGGCGTCGTCGTCGTTGTCGCTGTCGTCGTCGGCGTCGCTGTCGTTGCCAAGTGCCATTTGGTAACCACCGTCACGGTCTTAAGAGGTTTTGCAAACCAAGTTGCGGGTGGGTGGGTGGGATGTTTGCAAGAGCGTGGGATGTGTCGACTCGTTTGTTAAAATCAATTGCACCACGTAGACTGCACCACACTGTTTGCACCACATGGACTGCAACTCATACATCGCATCACATAGATTGCACAACCTAGAGGGTACAACATGGGCCGCACCACATATAGCTCACCACAGATATTCTCCTTTCAAAAAATGGACATATGTTCTACCATCCCCCCACGGACTTATCGATTCCCCTGGGACCCATGCAAAACGCATGTGATTCTGACCCAGTGTCCATCCGATTTCTGAATTCACACCGTCCCAGCCAGGCCGGTATCGGTCCCCCCTCGGTTCTTTTGTGCAAAAAATGTTATACGGTGACATTTTCTGTTCTAGCATAGCATGTTTTCGCGAATCCATTTCAAAATAACATACGGGGCACGCGCGCGAGGCCGCTGCGCGCGCATGTCGAAAGCCTTTCAAACACATGGTGTTGAAAATCATTCCAACATCCCGCCTCAAGAAAACATGTGAAAACGTCCAGCTTTCTCACCCAAAAATTCTGAATCATCTGCCCGCGCGCTCTTGCCGAATCCTTCAACAACCAATGGTTCTTCAACATTCCTTTTGGGCAACTTCTGCGCGCACGTCGGTCTCATTCAACAGCGGTCGCGAACTTGGCAGGGTCACAATCCTTTTTGTAAAAAGCGCAATGCGGGGCACATGCGCGCGGCCGCCGCGCGCGCAGGTCGAATTCCTTCCAAACACATCGTGGTGTCAACAAGTAGAAGACCGAGCTTCATGACATCACCCGCATCGTACCATACATCCCCGAACAAATCTGCAAACACATCAAACATTCTACCAGCGCGCGCCTTCGAATCCTAGAAAACCAATGGTTTTTCAACATCTGTGTCACGCGAGCAACTTACGCGCGCGCTTCGAACGCCTTCAACATCGGTCGTGCGCCTGCCAGGGCCGCAGTCCATTGAACAAGAATACCATGTGGGGCACATGCGCGCGGCCGCCGCGCGCGCATGTCGAACTCCTTCCAAAACCTTCAGCATCGATGCGAAGACGCCGTCATCGCCGTCGGCGTGATCAGCATCGGCGCCGTCACTGGCTGCCCCGTCGTCGTTGCCAGCATCGCCACCAGCATCGCGACTATCATCATCTCGTCTACCGTTGTCGACGTTGCCATGATACCGCGCCCGCCCAAGTCGCCGACTCGCACTGAAGTGCCCGTTGACCGCGTTCGCACCGGTCGCGCCAAACTAGCTGGCCGCTGCGCGCGCGAGCACGCGCGGGTTAGCGCGGCCGCAGACATGCACCAGCCAACACCAAGCACTCATCGCAATCGCCGCCGCGTGGGTTTTTCAAACCAAGTTGCGGGTGGGTGGGTGGGATGATTGCCCGAGCAGTGGAGTGGACAACTTCAAGCTCGGCAAGGTGAATTGCATCGCATAGATCGCACCGCATAGATCACACCGCATAGATGGCACCGCGTACATTTGTCCACATCGGGCGCAACATAGACTGTACAACACAGACTGCACAACACAAATCGCACAACATTTGTTGCACAGCAGAGATTGCACCACAAGGTTTGCACGATATTGTTTGCACCGCATATTCTGCACCGCGTGGATCTCACCACGTAGATTGCACCACATAGATTGCCCACCCGAGATTGTACCACATATATTGCTTCACGTAAACTGCACGACATAGATCGCTCAACATATATTGCACAACGTCGATTGCGCATCATAGGTCGCACATCGTATATAGCACCACATTATAGATTATTACAGCTGGCAAATGGTAAGTACACACACGCTGCTATAGTGAAGGCAACATTAATGCAGACCAAAGGAAGCGCACGCTGGAGGCACGCTTGAGACGAGACGGAGGTTGTTCAGATGGCAGGGTAAAAGCATGCTGTTCATCCAGCTGGGAGCATTTTTCCTCCCTCCTCCCTCAGCTTCTGCGGTTGTCGATAACGTCGGTCCAGTCTTGTTCAGGAAAGGTTTGCGCATTGTTTTGCTCACGGTCTGTTCCTTGATTTTCTTCAGCCCGGCTGATGTGTTGCGGCATTTGCGTTTTGACGCCTCTTGGCGAAGTATATTGTCCGTTTCCACCTTCTTCCTCCATCAGAAACCCAGCCGATAACAGGCGAATGGCAGTACCAACAATGTTGAGACACGAAAAGGATACCCACTCGACGAGACACACGTAATCTTAATGCAAGCTTTACGGCAAACTCGCTGCAAGCGTACATCCCACAACCGAAACAAGCGCTTCAGAAGACGGAGCAGGCGAACAAAAAGACGACCGCGGGCAAGTCCATGCAAGCTAAGCACGACAGCGATGCAGACCGATGGCAAATTTGAACAAGCCGAATACAAGCTACAAGACGGGCTGAACGCAATACGTCATCATTCAAGTTAGCAACTTACAAGGTTCGCCATGAAGGTCTGGGAAAAGAGTTATACAATGCCATCTTGGGCATCCCAGATCAGCTCACCAACCGAATCTGCATTTGCTTCGCCAGTTGCTAGCGGCTTGCTGGCCGGTCGGATTCTTGGTTGTCTCGGAATGGGCACCCTTGCTCTTCGACGAAGATGAGATCGAGTCAATTTCAATGTACAAATTCAGGCATGCGGTACCACTTCTAAGTGTTCTCATCCGCCTCCATCACCGTTTCCATCGTGCTGCTGTTCTTGTTTCCCATACATCCTGACGGCGGAGCGTGAGCATGAGATGATTGATCGTGGGCGCGGCAGTTCATCTTAGCTTGGCCCTCCTAGATCACCCCGCAGTGGTCACTGTCTGCCTTTCGCGCAGAGTCATCGGACACGGGAGGGAGGCAATGAGGTCTATGCGACCCGGCGACGGTCAAGATGTTGTTGCCATCTCGTACGCCCCCCTCCTGGAGGATGCCAGCTCATCTTCCTAAGAGCCCGCTGGGTCGAGGGAGTTCTTGCTCGGTCAAACTATCTCAGGGCGTCCGTGATGGTGACCGTTGCCTCAGGTCCCAGGCCTTGGCTTACGACTTTGGTTCGCCTCTCTGCCGTCGTCGGCTGTGTGCCATTTTGGGGGCGCCGACCGGGCCAGTGCTGCTTCTTGGCTCCTTGTGGTGGTTGGCAGCGCAGGTTTTTCGTTGTTTATACACCGGGCCTTGTATGTTATGCTAAGGTCACGATTTCACTCCGAGTGTCCACATGCACCCAATGAAATAGTTACCTCACTGACCATCCTTCGGATGATAGGGTGGTTCTGGGGTGGTGACGTCATCTTTGGCTTGCATGTGACGGACAAGTCAACTCACGAGTGGACATGCGTCGGGACATAAAGATGCGCAGTCGTTTACCGATGTATCGTTCTGTCTGTATACTTGATTATATGTTGATCTGTCTATATATATATATGACTCTCTCTCTTGATATAGATATATATATATATATATATATATATATATGAACGCCGGTATCACTTCATGTTTGTCTACATGTACTTCATGTACCTATCGATCTGGTGATATATCGGTCTCACGACCGGTAGATGAGATCAATCTCGCAGCACATATTGCATCTCAATTGTGTAATCTCGCACTGTGTGGGGTCCACGCTGGCTAACATGTACCCATTCGTCGATCAGTCTCACCATGTCTCCCCCTACTTCCATCTATCAATCGATCTACTTGTTTTACCATTGAGACACCTTTATTTTGATCCGCAGGACGCATGTTTGTAAACAGTTGTGTTATGTATGTTTGCTCCGCAGGGCGCCATTTTATATGCGTTGTTCGCACGGTGCACGTTTAGGTCGTATGGTCTCACAGGGCGCATTTTTGTTAAGGCCTCACAGAGCGCCTTTTTTGTTGGTGCTGTAGTCTCGCAAAACAATCACGAGGACCATCGGGACAATTATCGGGACAACCGTCGGGACAACCATCGGAAGAAACATCGGGACAACCATCGGGACGACAATCCATAGGACAAGCACCTGGACAACCATCGGGACAACCATTGGGACATCAATTGGGGCGCCCACGGGGACAACCTTCGGGACAACCATCGGGACAACCATCGGGGCATCCATTGGGACATCTATGGGGACAACCCGCACACACCAGCTGGGCCTGGGTGACTCATTTTGGCTTGACTTGGCTTGTTCTAGAGCTAGAGCTTTCACATCTTCGCCTGGCCTCGCCGTGCCCTCGACACGAATCGACACCGAAAACGATCATCCAGTTGGTCGACTCCGTTTCCCTTCGGTCTGATCCCCCGCCCTCGCGATTGTCCTTAGGAATGATGTTCGGCCAAGCGTGTGTGAACCCTGTTCTGCTCCGCAGATAGCGCGCAACCTGCGTCTGCCCTTGTTGCGCCGCCTGCGTCGTGTTGACGGGCCTCAGTCGACACGCACGCTGTGGCGCTAACGCGGCTTCTGAGGACAATCGAACTTCCTCTCCCATTTCTAGAGGTGGCGTCGGGCGCTGGCTCAGGGGTATTACATCCCCATGGCGTCCGGCTGTACCCTCTGTGCCAGTATCATGCTGCTGGGTAGACCAGTTGGGAACATGGCTCAACCATCAACCCAGTCTCTATTCAATAGTAGTTGTTGATGGCCTCCCTGGCTGTACTCACTGCCTAGAGGTTTGAGTGGCATCGTCTAGTCAGGGCGTCGTCGGAACAGTTAAACATGTGTCAGTCCACAGGCCTGCCTTCATGGGTATACCCTTTCCCCCCCCTTCGGAGGACACGCCGCCCCCAACACGTCCGAAGCCCGTTTGGGCTCAAGCGGGGTTTCCATTCGCTTTCTCCTCCGACCTCCCGTTTCCGGGGTCGCGATTCGTGCTCCCCACCATTCGCCCGCCTTAAGCTGCTCGCGGCTGGTTGGCGCGGCGGCGCCTGGCGGCGCGACGGCGGCGCCGTGGCGCGACCGCGGGGTCGAACCGCATGGCAGAGGAGACGGAGGCGGAGGCCTTTTTCGCGGGGGACGGTGCTGCGTCGGACGACGGCCGCAGTGGTGCCACCGACCTCCCCACGCTCATCCTGCCGCTGGATGTTTCTGCTGGCGGGTGCAACTGTTCCACTGGGTTCACGTCTGGCGGCTTGGAGTGTCGGTTCGCCTCGCGAGCGGTCCGGGTCTCACGCGAGATGCCGCCTGCCCGCTTCGTGAGAGCCCAGTTCCTGTTCAGCACCAGCGGCTCCCGGGACTGGTGGGCGCGGAGCAGTGGCCAGGCGGGAGGCATCTCCGAACGCCCGCTGCTCCACCTGTGCACGGAGCGGCTTTGCTCGGTCATCATGTGCCCGCCCAGCTACGCGGAGCTCATGCACGTCGTGGACGGGGGCAAGCTGGGGTTGTTGGAGCTGCGGGCACACGAGGAGTGCTTGCATAGCATCTCCGGGGCGGCCTGGCCGACGGACGTCCTCGGACCGCTGGAGGCTGCTCGGGCTGCAGTGGTCCCGAGTCGGCCTGCCGCTGCAGCCAAGAGTCTCCCTGCTCCGCCTGTGGCGGGCCCGTTCGACGGACACCTGGGGCCCGCTTCGCCAGCCTTGTCCGACTGCGAGTCGGAGTTGAGCCGCAAGAGTTCGAGGCCGCGCGCTCACTTCGACATTCAGAAGCGTGGCCGAGCCGGCGTGGACTTCACTTGCGACGCGGAGGTTGCCACGGCTGCTGGAGAGCCCCCACCCAAGAAACGCTCCTCCGGCGACCTCCTGCAGGAGTGGGCGGCGAAGCTGAAGGCCTTGCCTGGTGCGGATGCTGCCCGCGGCTCGCGGGAGCCTGCCCCAGGCGGGGCGACCTCGTCGCAGGACGTGGGGGCCGGCCAGCGGGAGCTCGCGCGGGCTCTCCTGCAGGCGATGCGCGAGGGGAAGGAGCCGGCCAGCACCAGCGAGCTCATCAGCGACGGCGCGGGCTCCACCGACCCTGCGGGGGCCCCGAGGGTCTTGGCGGGCAAGAGGGCCAGAGGGCCTACTGCCGTCGTCGGCTAGCTTCCAGCTCCCTTGGCCGGCTCATCGAGCATAGTCTGCAGCAGATGGCGGACTTCGTCGGCTCGCAGGAGGGCGAGGCTGCCGTGGGTGCGAAGAGTCCGATTGCGCTGCGGTATTTGCTCACGATCTACCTGCCGCATCACCCGTGCGGGACATCGGTGTCCAGACGTGCCGGGGGCCGCGCGCGCTCGCCGAGTCGGTCAATCTGCGAGTGCAGGGCGAGGCCGCCCACGCCTACGATTTGCTGATCCGGCGCCTCAAGGCGGCGCAGGTCTCCACCTCTGGCGGCAACTGGTCGGCGGCGAAGTGGCGGGAGCTCATGCCGCCGCGGCGCGAGCCGACCGCGATCCGCAGCGAGGAGGAGGGGAAGATGAAGCTCGACGAGCTCGCGCCGCGGCTGGGGCCCATGTGTATATATATTTATAGAAGTCTGGGCGGTAAAGCTCGCGATCGCCCGCGCCCCCCGCCCCGATAGCGCCGCGCTGTTCCCCCCGCGCGTTTCAGGGAGTCCCCCAGTGTTCCCAGGAGGCCTCAAGGGTTTCCCAAGAATTCGTCGTCGTCGTCGCTGTCGCCCGCGACCAGGAGGCCGAAAAAAGCGAGAACAAAGTCACAAAACAAAAAAACGAAAAACAAACAAATCGTTCCTCGAGCTTCGGACCTCGACCTTCGGAGGGGGGCGGAAGAACTCGCCCGCGTGGCAGAGACAACGTCGCCGCCGCCGCCGCCCCCCGATGGGGGGGGGGAGTCAGGAGGATGGGGGGCGGGAGGGGGAGGGGGATGGGGGGGCAGGACGGGGCGTTCTTGGGCGCATGTTGGCCCCGCGCGCACGCGGGGCGGTTCCACCGAGTTCCTTGGGCAGGCTTGGCGCAACCATCTTGGGCCCATTTGGGGGGGGGGCCAAATTGGCTTGAGTCAAATTGGCTACCGATCATGTCTCCTCTTCCTCGCTCGCCCCCCCTGTTCTTCTTGCTCGCGCTTCTGCTGCAACTCCTTCTTTTCCTCCTCAATTCCTTCTTCCTCCTCCGATGTCTCCCCCTTTTCCTTCTCTTCCTCTTCCCGAGGGCCCTGTCGCTCCAAACAGGCGCTGGGAAGCCGAAGCCCGCCGCGATGCGATCGCCCCCCCCCCCCCCGATCGCGCCCGCCATCGCGGATAATGCAAAAACGCGCTCCTGGCTGCTGCCGAGAAGCCGGGCTAGGGCATTGGCCAGGTAGAGGTGCGCTTATCTCTGGAGCCCCCGCTCGCAGGCCGCGCGGGGCAGCGACGCCCGCCGGGCCAGCGCGCCAGCCCCCCGCTCAGGCCGGCGGCCTCCAGCAGCAGGCCTAAGGCGGCGGCGGCCGCTGGCCAGGACGCGATGGCGCTGGCGAAGCAGACCGGCGAGAGAGCTTCAAGAAGGAGCACCCCGCGAAGCTGGGCAATACGTCAACGCAGCACCGGCAGCGGCTGGCCGCCGCTTGGAGGCGGCGAGCTACAGCGGGGAGCCGCCGGGCTGGCGCTACGGCGGGCCCCCCTTTGGGAGGGTGGCCGACGCCTCCATCAAAGGTGGTGGCGCCTCAGAAGCGGCTGGGTTCGGCGCTCGCGGCGTGGGCCCACCCGCCGCCGACTAGGCAGGCACGGGAATCGCGACGCGCCCCCCCCGGGGGTGAGGGCGCCGCGGGGTCTCCTTCCTTCGCTGCTCGCGCGGGACCTCCAGCGGCGGGCCTGCCGCGACCTGCGACCTCCAGTCCTGGCTGGGCGGGCTCGCCTTCGTCTTCGGCTCGACCGTGGCGGCCGTGGACCTCGCGGCGCAGCTGATCGCCGCGGTTCGATGCCATCCTGGGAGCCTCGGCACCCTCGCTCGGTCGTTCAGCTTGTGCACGCGGACACATTTTGTGGGAGTGAGGCGGCTGCGGGCAAGAGAATTCGCGATGTTCTGCCTCTCCCCCTGCCATCGACCGAGCTCGCGGGCCGCCGGCTCGCCGACCGCGCCGCCCCGAGGTCGCGGCGGTGTCGGAAGCGCTCGGTGGCCCAGGAGGCCTGCGAGGCGGCCTGGCTGCGCCTCGTCGCGGTGGCCCTGAACTACACCTACTGCGGGCGGGTCCAACAGGGTTGGCGCCGCGGGCTGCCCCATCGGCTGGCCAAGCGCGGGCGCGCGCCCACTTACGCTGCCGCGAGGCAGTGCTCGCGGCCGACCCGCTCGCGAAGGTCGAGGCGCCGCCGATCAGCGACGTGGCGGGCGGGCTCGGCTCTGCGCAGGAGGGGGAGTCAGGCGCGCGTGCCTTCCCCGCAGGCCCGGCTAGCCCTGGGCTGCCCTCGTGGGAGCGCGCCGCCACGCTCGACGCGCTCGACTTTGCGGGCGACGACGTCGCCGCCTGGCAGCGCGACCCCGAGCAGGCGCCCCTGCGCGAGGCCGACTGGCCCGACCCGCTGCCCCGCGCCAGGGTGAACGTGGATACGGACGAGGCCTGGCAGGAGCTTGCGCTGCACCTCGTCTCCCTTGGTATCTTCGCGACCCTGGCGGGGGCGAGCTGATCCGCGCGCGCGAAGTCAGCCAGGCTTGAACGGGCTGTTCGCAGTGGGGAAGAAGGGCGCGCCAGCGCGTGGCGCCGGGCGGGTCACCAGACTCATCCTGAACATGGGGCCGGGCAACTCGCTCCTGAAGACCCACGTTGGTGAGGCGGCGCTGTTGACCGCGTCGGCGTCCTCGGACGTCGATGGCCCTCCCCGAGGGGAAGCTGCTGCTGTGGTCGGGTGGCGGCCAGGGAGGCGCCTTCTTCGCTTGGCGGGCCCCGCCCGCGCGGCATCCCTGCGTGGCGGTGGGGCGACCGCTGGCAGGCCCACTCTTCGGGCGCATCGAGGCCGTCGTCTATCTGGCTTCCGCAGTCATCGCCATGGGCTGGTCGTTGGCCGTGCTCGTCTTCCAGCGCATCCACCGCAGGCTGCGACGCTTGGCGCCTCCGCGAGGAGCGGGCCTGCCACCCGACGCCGAGTGGCGCAAGGATTGCGCCCGTCCAGTGGTGGAGGCGGGGAGTGGCCAGGATGCTGGCTGGTGGCAGGTCCACATCGACGACTTTGACGCGCCCGAGATCGCCGACGAGGGGCGCTGGCTCGCGCGCTCGTGGGGGCCGAGATTGGCACGCAGAAGCAGGTGCGCGCGAGCTACGAGAGGGCCGGCGTTTTTTCTTCGGCCGAGAAGGCGCATCTGAGGCAGTTGAGGTTGGAGCGCGTGGGGGCCGACATCGACGGCATCGGTGGGAGGCTCGCGGCCCCCGTTCCGAAGGTACTTGCGACGGCCGCCCTCTGCCTGGCCGCAGTGCACAGGAGGCAGCAGACTTGGCGCGTTGCGATGGCCGTGCTCGGGAAGCTGGCGCGAGCCTTCGAGTTTCGGCGGCCGCTTTTCGCAGTCCTAAATGCGGCCTGGACGATGTCGGCGGCCGCCGCGGATGTCTCGCTCAGCGCCGAGGTCATCGAGGAGCTTCTGGTTTCGGTCATCCTCCCCCAGACGGCCGCCACCTGCGGGCCCGCGTCAACGGCGCGGTCGCGGCCGCGGGCGCGTCCGAGCTGGGCGGGGGCGAGCGCGCCTCGGTCAGCCCGCGGGGCCTGCGACGAGCTCGCCGGCGAGGGCGCCCTTCTCGGGGACATCGCTTGGGATGGGGCTGCGAGTGGCCTGGGCGGCCTGGGAACTTCCTGGCGCCGGTCTGCTGCAGGCCCCAGGGCCGCTGCCCATCGGCGCTCCGCGGCCTCGCGGCAGCGTCGGCCGTGGCCCGTGCTAGATGGCAGGCCGACTCGCACGGCTACCACGTTGCCCTGTACGAGGAGAACAGTACGGTCCGAGACCCGAGTTGCTCTTCCCCCCACCTTCCTAGCAGCGAGGGGGGGCGGCGTCTGCTGGGCTTCGACGCGGGGCACGCCGCCCAAGCCACGGAAGGCTCGAACCCGCAGGACGCGTCCGATGCCAGGGCCATTCTTCTCGGCAACAGCTTCAGCGTGTACATCGCGGCATGGATGGGCCAGCTGCTGCCGCGCCAGCGAGGGGCCCTAGTCGGGGAGCTCAGCATCCACGAGGCGCCCCGCGCGGGCCAGTGCCGGGAGACCCGGGACCAGGCGGGGGCCTTCGAGACGGACGGCGGCGACCCCGACACGGAGTAGTCGAGGCGGCTGGTCTCGCACTACAAGAGCCGCGCGGCGACGGGGGGCGCGGGCGTCAGGCTCGACCACGGCGCTCCCTTGCCGCGCTCGCGGCTGGCTGAGGTCGAGTCTCGCCCCCCTCGCGCGGAAGTGGCGCGCCACCCTCGGCGCGGCATGGCCGCGCGGCAAGTCAGCGCACATAGACGTCAGAGAGCTGCAGGCGGCGACGGCGCCCCTGAGGTGGCGCGCCCGCAAGGTCTCGCCGCGCAGGAGCCGCTACCTGCACCCGGTGGACAGTCGGGTGGTCGCCGCCATCGTCGCGAAGGACCGCAGCAGCAGCAGCGGCAGCAGGAAGCTCCAGGCCGCCCCCAAGCGCTGGATGGCCGTCGCCGTGGCGGCCGACATATGCCCTCTGATCGGCGACGTGGTTTTGGAGGACAACCCAGCGGACAAGCCGTCGAGGCAGCTGCTGTGGCGTGGCTTGAGGGTCAAGAGGCGCGGGCGGGGCCAACTGCGCGGGCCGCCGCCCGCCGCGGGCCCCCTCGCTCGAGGCGCCGCGGCACCCGCCGCCAGACCTTGGCGCCCCTGCGCGCGGCAGCGGAGACGCGGCGTCGGTGCGAGCGAGCTGCGCAGGCCTTGCTGGCCCACTGCGGCGTCGCTCGGAAGAGCCCGCGGGCCCTTGGCGACGACGGCGAGGACGTTGGCGCCCTCATCGCGAACTACCTTGAGAACCTCTGGGCCGCCGGTGCTGGAATCGCGGCCGCCAGCGACGCGTTGGAGGGAGCGCGCTGCGCAGCGCCTGGGCTGCGGCGGCGACTGGGCCTCAGTTGGGCGCTGCTTCAGACGTGGAGACGCCACGGGCCTGCTTCGAGGGCGCCGCCACTCACCGCCGAGGCGATTGCGGCCATGGCAGGATTCGCGCTTGCAGCCGGCGCCTTCGACGTCGCGGCGCTCCTCCTCATGTCTTTCGAGGGCATGCTGCGCGGCTCGGAGGCCTTCGCCCTCGCGGCGGGCGACGTCGTCGACCGCGGCGCGGCCGTCGTGGCGCGGGTTGCCTCGTCCAAGACCAATGCCGGCAAGGACTGCGCGGGGGCGGTTGTCGCCCGCTCCAGGCTGGCGCTGGCGCACGTGCGGATCGCAGTGCGCGGTCTCGGCCACGACGCGCGAATCTCGCGCAGGTCGCCCGCCCAGCTCCGAGGCGCGCTGGCCACTCGGGCGCGTGGCCTCGGCCTGCCAGGCCCCATCTCGCGGCGCAGCTGCCGCCGCGGGCCGCCTCAGACTTTTCTGAGAGGTCTAGTTCGGCGGAGGCGACCCTCGCGGCGGGCCGGTGGAGCAGCCCAGCCACGGCGCGCCTCTAAATCAAGGGCACCGCTGCCGATCTCGCGCGCGCGAGGCCCCTCCACCGCCGGCGCCCGCGCGCGCGGTCGCGCGGGGCATCCCTCTCTTGCAGCTCGCCCCAGAGCACAAGCTGCCTCGTTCCATCGCCTTCTCCCGCCTCCTCCGCTGGAGCGGCTCAAGCTCCGGGGCTTCGGCTTCGCGAGGGGCGAGAGGTGGTTATCCGAGGCGGCCTCGCTTCGCTGCGGCCTGCCCTGGCGGTGGGCCGGGGCGCCTCGGCGGCGGCGAAACGAGACCGCCTTGGATAAATGCCCCTCGCCCCTTGCTTAGCCGAAGCCTTGCGTCGTGAGGGCGTGATGTTTGGGGTGCTGATGTGAAGTCTCGATGTCTTTTGTTCCCCCCATCGCCTCCTCGCGTCTCCTGGGTCCAAGTGGCTCTGGGCATGCGAATCGGTTTCGCTGGGCTCGGGGGGGGGGGCACCCAAGGGGGCCTTGCTCCGCCGCGGCCGCTCTTGGAGCGCGCCTCGCCGCTTCGGCGGGGCGAAACGAGGTCCCCCTTGAATGGCCGCCCCTTGGCCTCTGCTCAGCCAGTGCCTTGTGCCCCCGGCGTGGTTGGAGTGATGATGCGAATGGCCTCTGCCGCTTGTGCGGAGAAGTCGGGGAAGAACGGCGGCCCCTCCGAAATGCCTTGGCTTCGCCGCGGGGAGCCTTTGCTCCCCCTGCCGCCTTTGGCGGGGCGCTGCCAGAACATCTCTGAGAGACCTCGCCTCTTTCCCCCTTTTCCCTGGCGGCCTCTTAAGTAAGTCGGCGCAAGGTGCCAGTGTCTGGGGGATTTGAGAGCTTCACAGGTTTGTAAGGTACACGGACGGGCTTCAGCCACTAAGGGGTGAAATTTGGTAGCGTAGGCCCCTTCCCCAGTAGAAGGCTGGGGATGGTGACAATTCAGGGCCCCCTCCCGTCAGGAGGCGGCGGCAAGCGCGCGGGGGAGGTCCTCCGCCTCACGCTTGCCGTTTGTTGTTGTCCTGAAAACGGAGGGGGCCCCTGGATCCCGTAGATATGTCCCCTGCTTGTCTGGGTTGTTAAAGGGAGGTCTAGGGCTACTCTTACAAGTGGCGTGTCCGCGTGCAAAGAAAAGGCGGGGTTGGGCATGTCAGCATGCAGGCCGCATACCCTTTTCCCCCCCTTTCGGAGGACACGCCGCCCCCAACACGTCCGAAGCCTGTTTGGGCTCCCGCCCGCTAACCACCCAGTCCGCGCCGTGTGTTCAGCTTTCGCTATCTGCCAGTGCCGTAGCCCGGAAGGTAGCGTAGGCCCCGTCCCTAGTAGAAGGATGGGGATGGTGACAAGTGACAGGTCAGGGCCCCCCTCCCGTCAGGAGGCGGCGGCAAGCGCGTGGGGGAGGTCCTCCGCCACACGCTTGCCGCTTGCTGTAGCCCTGAAGACGGAGGTGGCCCGTGGATCCTGTAGATATGTCCCCTGCCTGTCTGGATTGTTAGTGTAGGCCTACTCTGACCAGTGTTGCGTGCCCGCACGCAACACTGGTGGGGCTGGATATATATATATATATATATATATACGTATGTATATATACACATACATATATACATGAGGTTTATCGTTACGGGGTGTCATTTCACTGTCATCAGTGCGTTTCCGTATTGTCTCGGTCGCGGCAAAGATGTTCAATGATGTTGCGCAACCAATTTCACACGTTCTCTGTCTCTTTCTCTCTCTATGTCTTTATCTTGTTGTTTTTCTCTCTCTCTCTCTCTCTCTTTGTGTGCATGTGTGTGTGTGTGCGTTTGTTGTTGTTTTTTTCTCTCTCTCTCTCTCTTGTTCGCAGCGTCTCGTTATATATGTCTCTCTCCTGTCTAGATACACACAATTTTCAGAACGATATCACTAGTACTTCTTGTCTCCGCCATGATGGCCCGCAGTTTCTCGGTTTCTCGCGTAGGCGATGCGAGCTCTGTGGTGGTATGCCCGCCTCGCTGCGCTGCGACGCAGTGGCGGCATGCGATATCACTTCCCAACCTCCGAAATTTTGCGGTCGAACACAGATAGGTTCCACCCCGTCGCAAGCGCGACTGCAAAGACCAACTCGGTGCGCTGTTTGGCCTCGTCTTGCCTTGTCCTCGTTTTCCCCTCCGTGATGACACGCGTGAGCTGCATTGGCTTGCCGAATTTGCCCCTGGGCCAGAATTTGGCCCACAGAGGGCCCTGCGGGACGTTGCCGACGACGTCTGGAGCCCTCCCTCGTCCCGCCCTCTTTACACCTCCTGACGCCTCTCCCACTCCTCCTCCATCCCCCTTCTCCGTAATCCCTCGCCCTTCCTTGCTCCCGCGCGCGCGGGTGCGGAGTGGGGAGCAGGAGGAGATGGTCGGTCGGTCACTCGGTCGGAGACCTCGAGTGACTCAGTCTGCATAGCCCTGCCGGGGTGAAAGCCACAACGGTAGCCATCAGCCGAAAGGAGGAGGAGGAGGGGGAAGAGGAGGAAGAGGAGCAGGCGGAGGAGGAGGAGGATGGAGGAGGAGGAGGAGGAGGAGGAGGAGGAGGAGGAGGAGGAGGAGGAGGGGGAAGAGGAGGAAGAGGATGAGGAGGAGGATGGAGGAGGAGGAGGAGGAGGAGGAGGAGGAGGAGGAGGAGGAGGGAGGAGGAGGGAGGAGGAGGAGGGAGGGGGGGGGAGCTCCCTCCTCGCTCGTCCTCCCTGTGCGTCCACCTCCCTCTTGTGGCGTCCCCGTCCTCCCCCTGCCCCTCGAGGCGCACAGCAGTCCGCCTCGGGAGGACACTGAGCCGGGCGGAGCTGCAGTTCCTCCTCAGGGAGGGGCAGGCCAACGCGAGGCCAGCCCCAGTGGGGGAGCAGAGGGAGAGGGAGGAGGAGGAGGAGGAGGAGGAGGAGGAGGAGGAGGAGGAGGAGGAGGAGGAGGAGAAGGAGAGAGAGGGAAGGAGGAGGAAAAGAAGGGGACCCAGATCTCCCACGTAGCCATTTGTTGGACGCCAGCGTTTTGCAATCAGTTGCTGCATTGGAAAGCCAACCTGAGAGCCCAGGCACTATGTACACAAAACGGCCTGGCGCGAGAGAAACACTGTCCTGGAGAGGGGGTCGATAGCGTCGGTGCTCGCACTGGAAGCGCAGACATCCAGTAGGTTGTGAACCCCCGCCGATGTTTCAGCAAGCCAGCCTGAAGAGATAAGATTCGACTGTGGCTGCCTAGCAGGAAGATGAGGAGGAAGGGAGCCGGGGGGAGGAGAGGGAGGAGCTGTGATTGGGAGAAGCTTCTAGGGAAAGGGGCTGGAAGTCGAAGATATAGCAGAATTTCAGAGCTGGGCGCGGATGTCTCGGGTCGGTGTTGGACACCCCTCCAGGCGCCTCTGGCGCCGCCCTTGATGCGCTCCGCGTGTCAGGGTCGGGAGTCCAGCGCAGACTCTAAGAAGCCCGCGCGGACCTTCTAAAAGTCATGTTTATGCCGTGCGAATGGCCTTCGGTCCATACCGCCATCGTGTCTGGGTTGTGGGTCATGAGCCTCTAGGATGCTCGTTGGGATGTCGCGGGGGGGGGCTCTCGGGGGCCCCTTGTGGGCCGTTTGGAGGCCTCTTGTGAGCCGCTTTTGGGTCTCTTGGGGCGTGTTGAGGACCTCGTAGGGGTCTCTGGGATGCAGCCATCCCTCGCTCGATCACAGGGCTCGCCGCCTCATGAGTCTCGGTCTGCTTAGTGTCGCGCGGCCTGTCTGGCGACTGGTCGGCCCCTGCAGCCTCACTGGGCCTCCTCAGGAAATTACCTGCGATGCAGATGGAGCCAGCTTAAGTGAAGGGTGGTTTCGGAACACGAAATCCTTAAGAGCACTGTTCAGCTGCTCAGCTACAGTGTTGTTTGGGTCAGGGTGTTGACAGGTCGTTATCTCAAAGATATTCCAGTGGCAGGGTGACAACACGTCCAGGGCTGGGTGGCAAGAGTGCGTGCCACCACGCAAATTGCGTCTCGCACAGCGCAACCCATCCATTTCATGGTTTGCTGGATACTGCGAAAGTGAGCTATGCTAACAGGCGTCTTGCCGCAACCATGCCACTGGCGGAATTAGTGAGGACGCTCGGGGATCGAAATGGGCAGATGGACTGTACGTTAGCTGTCTTGGCCACTGGCGAAGCTTCTTACTCTGGGGTGCGCAGCCTTGCCAGCGGGGCGAATTGCGCAGCCGCGGACACGTTCGAACATAACTCCCACATTCTCGAAGGGCTCCCCCGCAGGATGGTTTCAGCAACGTGGTTTTGGAAGCGACGGAGGTCTCTGCTCCGATCGCATGAGCGGCAGAGGAGGGAGGTGCCAGGATGAGAGGGACGACGACGGCGATGAGGGGGAGGCGGTCTGTACGTAGCCGTTTTGGCTCAGGAGGGTGCCGCCCATCAGCCGGCTGTCATTCCTTCGGTGGGGAATCTTCTCTTGCAGCATGGGCACTGGGGCGTCCGCGGGACTGTCGGAGTGTTTGAACGCAGCCTCACCGCAGGAACTTCGTGAGTGTGCGGAGGCGCTGCCAGAAGCCGAGCGGGCAAAGTTGTCCAGAGTGCTAGCGGGAGGTGCAGATGTCGGGAGGTTGCCCCTGGGTTTGCAGCATATGGCTTCGTGGCAGTGCACACGCAGCTTCGACCAAGCGAGGCCCGTGCCTAAAAAGATGGTTCTCGATATCCTCGAGTGTTCGCGCAGCCTTCCCACGTCGGCCAACACGCAGCCTTGGACAATCATCGTGGTCGAAGGTGACGCAAGGAACAAACTCAGCAAGAAGATGGCAGCGAAGTTCGATGCTGGAGACGACGGCAAGTCGCAATATGTTGAGCGACCTTCGGACAGTCTTCCGCGCATGGACGAGGCAACGGCCGATTACGAGCGCCGGCTCTACGAGGATCATTTCAATCTTGCGCCAGACGACAAAGCCGGCCGGCGTGCGAAAGACCGGCAGAATTGTGAGTTCTGGGGTGCGCCAATACATTTGATTTTGTGCTCTCCTTACAAGCAGACTGTCGAGGATGGAGTCGATGGCATTCCCCTCGATATGGGCACATTGTTAACAGCTATCTTGTTTGCAGCACATTCTTACGGATTGGGAAGCATCCCGCAGTTTACCACAGCGAGATACCATGATTGTTGCCGCGAGGTCTTGGGAAATGACACATTGCCAGACGATCTCATGGTCACTTGTGGCCTCAGCATCGGGTGGCCAACGGGCGGTCGTGATCCGCGCGCGCACGCAGAGTTCGTGCCTAAGAAGTTGAGCGTCGCCGACGTAACCAACTGGTCTCAGTGCGATACAAGCTGGCTGACGGCCAACGCGGGAGCTGCTGGCGACGGCAAGGATCACACGCTTATCAAGCTCATCCAGGGCAGACACTGCTCGCACACCCTCGAGGCAGGGCGATCAGTCTCCAAAGATATCCTCCATGCAATCCTAGACGCAGCGTGCAATGCACATTCGATCGACAACTCGCAGCCATGGTCTGTCACAGTCGTCCAAGGTGCCAAGAGGGACGAGCTATCTAAGCGAATGCTTGAGCAGTTTGATGCTGGCTTCAACGGAGGGCAAACGTACAAGAAGTATGCGGCCGAAAACACACCGCAGATGCAGAAGGGCAAAGACACTTATGGGCAAGAGCTGTACGAGAAGAAGCACGGCCTGGCACGCGACGACGTGGACGGTCGGCGCCTAAAGTACAGGCCCAACTACGAGTTCTGGGGCGCCCCCCTAGTGTTGCTGCTGAAGTTGCCGAAGAAAGCGGTCTCGGGAACGTTCATCGACATCGGCTCGTTCATGTACAGCATCCTTCTCGCCATGCACGCCTACGGTCTCGGCGGCAAGCCTCTCGGCTCCACCGCCAAGTACACCGACATCTGCCGAGAGGTCCTCGGCATCGACGCCGTGCCAGAGCATGAGCACTTGATTTGCGGCCTCTGCATTGGCTGGCCCACCGATGGCCGCGACCCACGTGAGATGCCTGACTTCTTTCCGAGCCGCTTGACCCTGCAGGAAACTTGCCGTTGGGACGTGGACTCGTCTTGGTCGGCCCAGGCGTAGCAAGCCCTTGACGACGACATCCTAAGAGCCAGCATAATCAACATAATTGCCCGCATCAGCTTCACAATCGTCAGTTTCTCCGTGCCCGGTGTGGTTCGTGTAATCGGTTAGTGCCCCCCTTTCCGAATCTTGGAAGCGGTGAGTTATTATCATCATGATCACGGGTCCATCTCGATTCCAGTCAGAATCATATTGCCAACCACTATTGCTCCGTAGTGCCATAGGTCCCGTCGTTAGCCGACCCAGTGCCCAGCATTCCTGGCGATGGCTTCCCTTGGACAGCGCGCCCCCGATCACGATCGGACTCATCATCGCCACATCCACTGGAGGAGGAGGAGGAGGAGGAGGAGGAGTCGGCGCTTCTATACTTTGGGGGGAGCCTGCACGACAGGTGCAGGCAAGCAAACCATCAACCGGCTTGCTCGTGGTCTATTACCCTCACAGCGGACAGCCTGGCCAGATGAGTCAGAGGAGTGCTTTTGAACCCCCTGAATTGGCTTTTCATTTTTTGCTGCCCCCCAGCGCGGATTTGGACTTGCCCCCGCTGATGCGTCCGGGAGGAGGAGGAGGAGGAGGAGGAGGAGGAGGAGGAGGAGGAGGGCCCAGACCTCCGACCTTCTGCTTTTCGCCGCGCGGGCCCTGGGAGCTCTCGACCCCGGGCCCGGGACCGCGCCTCCTGCCGCGCGCCCGCCCCTCACGAGGCCTCGGCCCCGGGGGCCCGCCGACGACCTGGGAGGCGACGAAGCGTGGAGAGAGCGGCCCCGGGGAGGCCCAGAGGCCCCCCAAAGAGGTCGGGCGGGGGGCATAAAGGTGGAGGGGGGGGACCCAAATGAGGGGTGAAGAAAAGGGCATTTGGGCACCAATTGGCTCCAAAAAGGCCCCAAAGGTCCCCTTTGAGGGCCCTTTTCTTCACCCTCCATTTGGGCCACCCCCCATTAGCACCCGCCCGAGCACCAGGCTGCCGTAAGTCCCGATCCTCGAACCTCGAGGGCCGATCGTCGAGGAGCTGGAGGAGCAGCCAGAGGAGGAGGGGAAGGACGACCCAGACCGTCAGCGTCTCGACTTCGTGGCACTTCGCGTATCCCCACCAGTCCATCCAGAAGCGGTGCCCAGGCGAGTTGCATTGGTCAGGGAAGTGAAGGCGCATCCTATGGAGAAATGGAGGCAACCGTATATGCCTTCTCTGATTTTTCGATGTGGGAGCCTCTGGGTCGTCTTGGGGCCCTCTTGGGGTCATTTCGGACGCCTTT